GAGTGCTCACGCCAAAGCTAATGTGTCAGTCCAGAGAGAAGGGGCAGAGGAAGTGTTGTCGTCTCTCATGTCACTTTGCAGGAGCTTCTTAGATTTGGGAACTGTTGGCTGGCTGTAGACGCTGGTGTGTTTGGTTAATCAGCCCTAAGCTAAATGGTAGGTAATTCTGTATTTTTGATGCTCATTCTAACAGAGTGTTGTGCTGTCACTTGCTGAGAAGTTTCACCATGACCAAAATTGACACATTTTAATCGGGAAATATGAGGAATTGTTGCTTTAACACATAAACAAAATGACTCATTGGACGCCCAATCATGCTTTTTGGTTACATTATATTATCATCGTCGTACGTCGGGGTAAACCTGTATCTGTCAGGCAGGAGTCTAGATGTATTAACCCAGCTACAAGAAGTGAAGTGATGAAACTGAAGCCTGCAGGCTATAAATCTTAGTTTGGGACCTATTGATGTTTGCTGGAGGCCAGTCCCTCTGGTGCTCTGGCTCCCTAAACATCATCACTCTTCAAAGGGTCCTGTCATCATCATGGTTTCAGACTCCACTCAGGTTACGGTTCTCTGACTCTCTGCGCCCCTGGGGGTCGTAGTTTAGACAGCATACAAACAAAACTGTCTGTAGGTGCAGGTCCAGGTGTTAGTAGAGTATTAGCAGCTTCAGCTTTACCTTAAAAGCATCTTCTTTGTTGAATTATTCTTGAGTAATGCTCGGGAATCCCTTCAATCTGATGATTATCTGATATACCTGTTGATCAAGGTTGCAAGTGAGGTGATTAAGATTAATAAAGTTATAGAGTAAACATCATTACTTAAAATGTGCCTCTTTTTGAAAGAAGATGATGATGATGTTGACAAAGCTAATCACCTTTATATAAGATTTGCTGCTAGACTGAGCAGTCCTCAGTGGATTTTGGTTCAAGGATTTCTACTCTTTTCTTTGCCCTAGTTTGCTCTTGTTTCTTTTCGAGGATGGAGAACTTGCTAGTTCAGTTTTCGCCGCTTTGTTTCTTAGTTTAGTTCAGTCAGACAACTCACGTGTTTCTTAATATGTTTATTAGAAGAAGCATATAGTTTGAGTTTGGCGTCTAGGCTCGGGCCTCATCACTCCACAGATTTACAAAGAACATTGAGTGATGATTAGATAACTATCCCCCGAGCCTACAGGTGGAAGCTGGGGTGGAAGCGGGGGTGGAAGCTGGGGTGAAAGCTGGGGTGAAAGCTGAGGTGGAAGCTGGGGTGGAAGCTGGGGTGGAAGCTGGGGTGGAAGCTGGGGTGGAAGCTGGGGTGGTGGTGGGGTGGAAGCTGGGGTGAAAGCTGGGGTGAAAGCTGGGGTGAAAGCTGGGGTGGAAGCTGGGGTGGAAGCTGGGGTGAAAGCTGGGGTGAAAGCTGGGGTGGAAGCTGAGGTGGAAGCTGGGGTGGAAGCTGGGGTGGAAGCTGGGGGTGGAAGCTGGGGTGGAAGCTGGGGTGGAAGCTGGGGTGGAGCTGGGGTGGTGGGGGGGCAGGCGAGCAGCAGCAACATGAAACACAGCAGCAGCAACATGAACGTAGCAATAGCAAGTGAACACAGCAGTGGCAGCAGCAGCATGAGCGAGGCAGAGGCAGGAAGACCTGGCAGCTTCAATAGAGCGGCATGTTTAGGAGAATGTGTTTGGTTGGTTGTAAGAGGGACGAGGTGCGTCACGTGTTAATGTATGATTGGTGCTCGAGTTGACTACCTGAACTAGCTCGCAGGCTTCGCCCCATTTGATGCATTTGCCTTTTAGTCTAGGGGGGAAGGTCTAGGTAAGGCTGGTCCAAGATCCCTCTATCTTTTTTGGCAGATTCTCCTTTATAGTTAATTTTATTATAAATAAAATGTGTTTTTATTTGTAATCAGAAGCTCAGGTTTGGTGTTTAAATTACAAGTTGAAGGGTTTCATTTTGCCTTGTAGCTGTAACTGGAGAGGGAGAACAGAGTTGACACTGATCAAGGGTATAATGACGGTGACGAAGATAAAGAAGGAGACCATGGAGATGATGAAGTGGATCAAGATAAATGAAAGTAATTTATTACCTTGCTTGTGAACATGTATAAGAGTTGTTTGCTTGCTGTACGCTTGTGTTTCTGCCTGGAATTGAACCAGCAACCAGAAACATCAATGAATCATTATCATGTCTAACCCTGGGCTTAACCCTTAAAAATCACTTAACTTTTCATATATTGCCTTGTATATCTTTACTGTAACATAGCCCTTGGCATAATTTAACCGAAGATCTACAGGAGCTGTCTCCGTATTCCTTCAGAGTGTTATCCACGATCTGATCCCTCCTACACTCCTCGCTGCCATGAGAGATAATTAGATCAGATGCTGTGTCTTAATTAATTTGCGTAGCAGAAGTGTTATTGGTATCAGAGGCGGCGGCGGCTGACATTGAACACCACAGGACGCAGCTGAGTCGAAGGCAAACTCTGAGATGCCACAGAGATAACGTATCGCGAGCAGTTTAATGAGCAAGTTAATGAGATGGAAGATGTAGCGCATATATAGGAGTGAACGCCTGCAGTTCCTCCAGAGTTGCTGAAAAAATCTTCCTCCTTATGCTACCTTAGGTACGTGTTAGTTATTCAGAACAGCCACAATGCAGCCACTGTAGGTGTCAGGGTTTGGGCAGGGTGTTGGACACAAAAGTAGTAAAAAGAGGATAGCAGGTATATATATTACACAGTGAGCTTTTATTCATCACAATCTGATATATGGAATGGTTTGGAGCAGGATTTAAAACAAAGCACAAGCATAATTCAGTTTAAAAGGATGTACAGAAACACTTTTTTGGAAAACTATGAGAATGAAGAGAGGTGACTGAAGATGAGAAATTATTGTATATGTATGTATAAATGTAAATGTAAGTAGGAATAACTTACATAATGACTTAAAGGACAATCATTGATCAAGTAAGGGGTGGGAATTAATAAGCATTTGCTTCCTCCTACTCCCTTTCGGACACATATGATTTTATGATTTTTTTAATTATTATTATTAATATGAAGACTTTTTTGTTGAATATATACATATTATCATGAATGTGGATAAATACTGTATTTTAACAATACGGTATTCTGTTTTTCACATTTGTTATTTTTTATTTGTTATTTTTTTTAATCTGTTCGAAATAAAGATTGAAATGAAATGAATATACAAAACAAGCTATCACAAAACATGGGGAGCAGGCAATGTAAAATCCAACAAAGAATAAACTGAACATGCACAGAGCAGGAATGGCATGAGGAACACGAGTAGGAACATTGAAAGGAACACAGGGAATCAGGAACCAGACGGGAACAAAGGCATCGGACTGACAAAGAAAACTTAACAGACAGTCATATACTGTATAGCAGTGGCTCAAACTGTCAGTCCAAACGTATGCTCTCATTCAGTGCAACGGCAAGGGCATTCTCTCAAGGATATAGAATACCTTGGTTGAAGGATATTCTACCCAGAGACCCAGAACAAGATCTGATTGATTGCTTTTCTTTTCTAACACAAAACCACTGAAATGCGTAGTGCATGGTCCGAGAAGGACAAACAAATCAACGTAACACTGTAATATTACAGATCAACAACACAGATACGATTCTCATTTATTCATTTTATATACATTTTATTACATTTTATTTATATAATGAAATCGATTTTTTGTTTGTTTTATCTGAGTGTTCCAGGGTATTCTCTGAATACCTTGAAGGCCCTGACGGTTCGCCACTGCTGTATAGAGATGGGACTAATTACATTAACACAACAAAGCTGGAGTGGGCAGGTAAGGACACAAGGATCTGAGCTAACACATAAGGATGCTAATGAGAGAGGCCCTGAAATGGAGCTTTGAGGAACTCCACACTTCATATTTGTCCGCTCAAATGTGTAATCATCTATGGCCACAAGATAATCCCTGTCCTTCAAAGTAGGTTAAAAAAGAGGAGGATAACAAGTGTGTCTTCATTTCTTATCATTATAAATAAATACAAACTTTTGAACATTAAAGCATGTAACATTTCTCAGTAGAGGCACAACATATGAACCTGAAAATTAGCACTAAATCCTCTTTAAAATCTCTGGGTGTAAAACAGCGGCAGCAGGATGACGTTTAGGAGACCATTGTTTCAGCACCCCTCTTCTGAAATGTGTTTGTGAAACTGAACGCCTGCCAACTCCTGTCAAGAACTGCTGATCAGTAGCTTACACACACTGTTCCACCTGTGAAATACGGCTTCAGGAATCAATAAGAGGAAACATTAGAGGGAGATCATCAGAGCTCAAGTATTCAACAGGTGATTATGTTTTAACGTTTCTTCGGGGGCAGAGGGCGTAACACAAATACAGAATGAAGTATGACTGCAGCAGTAGTGATATGGGCTCAGAACAGTCTCATTATATACACATGCACACAGAAGGATTCACACTTGTATTTCATGATCCACACTTGTGTTTTTCAATGCACACACACATGTTTTCCGTTTCATATACATAAATAAAATCCAAATACAGAAAAAGGTTTTACATATGTATTTTTGATCCTCACATATTTGTTTTCCACTCTCAGTACATTGCCACTTTCCGAACAGGAAATGCACGCAAATACAAGCTTTTATATTATTAAGGTACATTGCCACTTTCCGTGGGTGCTAGACAGTGAACTGGTGGACCTCTGTCGCCTGTCAAAGCGGTGGTGGCGAAGTCGATAGGGAGTTGGCTTGGCAACTGGAAGGTCACGGCAAGACCAAGTGCTACCGAGGTGTCCCTGAGCAAGGCACCGTTCCCTACAATGCTCCCCGGGCAGATGGGGCTCAAAGCCATGGAAGGCAACCCATCTAGGAGAAGGATACTCTGAACTAAAACCAGGACTGAGAGGAGTTGCGCCCCCCAGTCCTTAATCAGCATAGTAAAGCCAACCATGAAGAACAAAGCCATCCCAAATCCTATATGGAGAACCGGGATGACTGGAAGCGACGATGGAGGGCTCGTCTGCGGACGACCTAGAGAGAAAGAAAGCAACTTCAGATGGCCAGTCCGCCCCTACCGGTACCGAGGTGGGCCGATCGGAGTGGCCCAACCGGCCCACTTCGGTACGTCCCGATGGCCAGTCCGCCACTGCTTCGGCATACAGTATAAGTGTTGCACGGCCAGATACGGCTCGAGAAGCTGACTCCCAGCATGAAACTCGAGCGATTATTCGCATCGCGTCCGGTGTGAACGCACCATTATTACAACAAGTATTATATAATTACAAAATAACATCGCCACTCTCAGTACAGCGCCACTTTCCGAACAGGTAATGCACGCAAATAAAATATTTTACATTATTATTATTATTAATAATAATAATAATATATATATAAATAAAAACATCTTGTATTTTAGTTACACCCGCTATTAATTAATTTTGTCAACATTGGACCTTGACACCGTCCACATACTGTAGCTATAGTGAAATAATATAATCGAAAACATTAAGCCTCTTTGATTTAATAATCGGAGCTGAAACCTCTCTGCCATCTCATATAACACACACTTCCTTATTTATCTTTGAATAATAATACCGTCAAAATAAAGACGACTATGCTACGGTCCTTCGGTCCTGAGATTAGCGCCTGCAGGCTCCATGGACCTGTCAGCTCCGGACAGCGCAAAATGCGTATATGAAGTGCTACGTCATGAACGCAAGAAATCATACCCTCATGTGATTGGCTTAGAATGAAGGAGATATCTGATTGGCTATAGATAGAAAAAATTACAAGTAGGCCTACGAATCGGGTGACCGTCAGGGGAGTCTCAAAAAACCCACACACGAATGCACAGCGATCCATGCACAGAAAGCGGGTTGTGTTTGCAGGTTCAGAGGTTTTAAACGGAACACAAATATGTGAGGATCAAAAATACATATGTAAAACTTTTTTCTGTATTTGGATTTTATTTACATGTATATGAAACGGAACACATTTGTGTGTGCATTGACAAACACAAGTGTGGATCCGGAAATACAAGTTTGAATCCTTCTGTGTGCATGAGTGTATTATGAGACTGTTCTGAGCCCATATAGTGATGGCAGTGAGATGAAGAAGCTATATGTGTCACTGACCTGCACCACACACACACACACACACACACACACACACACACACACACACACACACACACACACACACACACACACACACACACACACACACACACACACACACACACACACACAGTCTGTCTTTGATGTTTAATCTAGGCTACTGCAGTGTTGAAGGCTAAATGGGTGCAAATGGTGAGCATTGTACAAACTCTGAATGTACAAAGTCCGACTGGCATCAATATCATGGGTAAAGAAGTGAAGTCCCTTCTGTATAAAAGTTGTTTTGCAGTGTGTTAGAAATGTTTTTGCCTCTGGTTTCCTGTGTCTCAGGTTTCTTTATGGTGAATATAGTTGTATCTTCTCTGATTTGGTTACATTGAAAAGCCTGAGGACGTTTTTGCTCAAATGACGAAAATTAAAATATTTATGCAATGAGAGCCATTTTCTGTGACAGTAAAGAGTCATGTTCTTGTTCATGTCATTAAGTAGTAGCTGCCAGCTATTTTGAAGATGTATGCTGTTTGATTCAATGTTCAAATGAGTCTAACTTCTTTTTTAAATTATGAATATGGAACATGGACTAACATTAAGCTTTTCGTCTAATACACTTAGGATTTCTTTATTCATGCTTCGCTCCACTGGAAAAGCCTTCAAATGCGTCGTTCAAGGGATAAAGTCAGTCGTGTTTTCCAAGCCAGTTCAGCAATTACAGTCTAATTTTCCATTCATGAGCCAGATTCTGTAACCTTCTGTAACTCTGCAGCTGTGGGGGTTTCAGTTTTCTGTCTTTGTAGATGGGATGAAAGTTAAACCTGCCCAACTCAGAGTAAAAAAGGATTTGCTGAAGAGTTGCACTCTTTCGTTTTCCAAGATTTTAATCATTGTTGTTATCTTGTGATATCTTGGTATCTCAATATCTTAAAAGGACATTTTAATCCTTGAATGTGCGTGTGTGTCATCATGGGAGACTTTGCCATGAGTATTTCTGTCTGTCTGTGGTTTTGTCACTTTGATAGTTGCAACACACATAAACGTTGGATTTGAAAAAGTCTTTGACCTGGACAAAGGGCGCCAAGTGGACAGGTATATGGTGTCTAGTTTATGATTATATTTTGCCCTTTGTGTGGCATTTTCTGCATGAAAGTGGATTTAGGTATAATCTTTAGTAAATGTTTTTATTTTCGTGCTTGCAAAAAGCTCATATCAGTATTTTGTTTCTCTCCTGGGACATGTCTCCAGGCTTTAATGTTCAAACAGCTCTTTATTTTTCTCATACTGCCTGTGCTGCAGCACCTCTTTTCACCCTCTGTCTGAAACCAGAGCCCAGTCTGCTCTGATTGGTTAGCTGGCCGGCTCTGTTGTGATTGGTCAACCGCTTAGAGATGTCCCGCCCCTTAGCCTATCACGTACAATGTGTTGGAGCGCTAGCCAATAGAAGCACGAGTGTAGTATGTTTTGTGTTGTGCTGTTGTGCCACATGTATTGTTCACATTTATGTTTCTTTTTGTCTTTGTTTTGTTATAATGCCTTGTGCGGAATGCTTTGGCAATACTATGTTCAAAATGTGGTCATGCCAATAAAACCCCTTTGTATTGTATTGTATTGTATTGTGTTACATAGTGATGTCACTATCTTCCGGAAGTAAACAAAGGAGTCCAATCGAGGCATTTCAGGTGTATATAACACACTACATGGAAAGAAAGACTCCAAAAAGCATAATAGGGCCTCTTTAAATTGTAGCGCTGCTCCAATAGAGGAGAAGTTTCGTTGTGATGATGGGAGCACACTTGACATTCTGCCACAAACTTAGTGAATCCATAAACTAATAAGGACTTTGAACCAGACTTGTCTTGTGCTTCCCAAGGTGCTATTTATGTTTTCCGTGCCCTTGTCCCAAATTAGTTGTTGGTGAGCCAGTGAGCACAGTTAGGACATGCATCAGTGAACACAAGAGCAGCCCCAACAGGAAAGACAACTGCTGTTTCTGACAATTTCCTGCATGGACACTTTCTCAACCTTCAAATTCAACAATGTATGCAGAGGGTCAGGCCCTCCCAGCAGGGGAGCGGACAACAAACACTTTCTGTTCAGAGCAGACACCCAGTGGACTTAATCTGTGTCGAAGGAACATCATCAGGAACTTGAGTTTGTTGGTTTTTCTGCATGTTATGAACTTTGCAAGGATTTTTTTATGTGATTGGTACAAGGGAAAGTTTTCAGATTTGCACGTCAGATTATTAATATATATATTTTTTTAAATAGTTTGATTTTGTCAATGCACTTTTGTTAGATAATGCAGTTTTGTCAGTTTACCTTTTATCCGTTTTGCAAGCAAGTAGCACCCAAATGTAGTCGATGCAATTGAATACACTACCCTTGTATCGTGGTGTTATGTTAAATGTTTGTTTTCCTTGTATCATGTCTTCACTTTTGTCCTTGTTTGATGTTGCAAATGGAGCTGCTGTGATGCAAGTCAAGTTTCAGACTTGATCTGACAATAAATTATTATCGTATTGCAATACATACTGTTTCATACATGATAACGGCAACTACTAACTGAACTTAACAGCACCTCAATAGTATAACTTGCAATACTTTTATGTTGTTCTTTTGCAGTGGATTACGCTCTACTGTAAGTGATCTTACTTGTACACACACTCTACTGTATATATATTTTTGCACAAATATATTGACTGACATTTTCTGGATGGATAAGCTTCAGAAGGCAAGAGTCACATCGGTGTACCAGATTTCTGCTTTATGACTCTCATGAAGCTGGAAGCATTGTTTTGCCGCCTGCAGGCAGAGGATGTGCTGATTCCCACAGTAGCTCAGAATCAGTTTGACAGACAGGATCTTTGCTCGAGCCAGCGAGGCGTGCAGGGAGGCAGCCAGACAGGTCAGAGCAGAAAACACCAGACCGGTCTGATGAAGTGCAGCGCCACAATTCACACTCAAGTCAAAATAGCTTACGGACATTTCAAAAAAGTTAGTGAGATTGCTGCAGAAAACTTTCAAATTCTGCTCCTCAATTCTTAATTAAAGATTAGTACTCACACACCCACATACTCAAGTCCCTCTGCTACCCCTATAGTAGTTAAAGGAATCAATTTAATTGAACAGAAAACGTACATATTTGACTGGGATTGATAATGTTTTTTTAGGAGTAAGAGAAAACATTTCATGGCAGTGCTTACACAGCTTTCCTGGGTTCAATTAGAGATCCTAATTATTTTTAAGATGTTTAATGATTATTATTATGTCTGAAATACTTGGGAATCCTTCAGTTTATTTAGTTTCTGAGCAATAGTGCTGACTAAAACTGAGTGCTTTACTAAAAGGGTCTTTCATGCACTCAGAATGTCACTTTGTATAAAAAATGACATCTAAATCTGACATGTAAATCGTGATGTAACTATACATTGCATGCACTATTTATGCTGCTCTCGCTTCTGTCCTTTTACCCTTATATAACATCTCAAATTAAATGAGTGCATAAGTGGTGGAGAAAAAAAGCATGCATTTCATTACAGTTTCAGATTTCAAAACAGAAAAAGTATATTATTCACATTATTAAAACAAATGCACATATTTAATTGGAAGCCGCGGCCTTGACTCTGCTTGGTCAAACTACGGATTGAGGTTGTGCAGGTCTGCAAAAAACACAATTTATTTTGAGGATTATGGTTCATATTTGAGGGCAAAAGCAGGCTTTGGTGTGATTACTGTGCTCGGAGATGCATGGCTTAATGAATACTGTATTGTGAGAGATGCACAGTGAGCTGCACTGAACTGTGAATGACCAGGACCCTGTACTGTATATCTATTGATGAAGTGGAAGAATATGCTCTCAGCTTGATTCAACCCCATCTAGTGTTGATATTTCAGGAACATAGCAAAGTGGATGCTATGGATGTAGAGAGGGATGGATGAAAGGATACTGGTGAAGCGATAAATAATGATTAGACACGTGTCATGGGTGTGCTGAGAGTCCTGAGAGCTTTATTGTGCTCTCGAGCTTTCATTGTGACATTGTGAGAGCTGACAGAGTGAGGAAAACTGATGATTCACAATACCTCTGTTTAAGCCAAGGGGCTGTGGAGCTAAAACTCTTTCAGCAGGCATTATATCCAGTCCTCTGTGTCCATGTCTGTGTCAAAAGTACAAAAAACGTTTCGGTGTGTCAGAGAATAACCTCACCAAAAGTGCAGTCAGTTTCACGAACAACTGAATGGTTTCTGTTCGATTCTGTTCTGTGTTTTTAAAGATAAACATGGAAGTCAAGTAGAGCTAAACAAGCTAGGCTAAGCTAAGCTGGCAGTTGATGAGCTACTGAGACAGTGCCTGTGTAACCAAACATAACAATCTATTAGCATTCTACTTATTTCTCTGCAATGCTTAGCTTTTCTTACCAATAGTGATGTTATTAGGGCTGTATTAAGCTTAGTTTTTCCAATGCAGAGCTAAAGAGAGTTCAGAGCTAATGCTACTGCTAAAGCTAGCTAGAGGAAAAAGCAGATTTACACAATAATTTTTCATTTTCTAGTAGGTTAGATGTTTGATGAGGTGAACGTACATCAAGGTTCGGAAACATTATTATTATATTCAGTGAGCTGTTGAGAGCCCCGTATTTTAATAAAACGGTTGATTTGCACTGAAACTGCAGGAAGACATTACCGCTCTAAGAAAAGACATCTCACATTGTTTCCACATGTATAGGACTGTCAAATGAAGAGTGCACCACTTTGCTAGAATCTGATCGATACTGTGGTGATCAGTTTGACATTTTAAGTGTTTCAGTGTGTGACTTGACTGCTGATTGAGGTGCAGATTGATGGCTTTCAGTGGAAAATGCACCATGTTATTACGCTTATATATTTCTTCAGAGGCTCAGTGTGAAGAGTCTCTTTATTTTATCCTGTGAGGCTGATCAATAATAGCATTTCAATCCAGTCTCTATATACTGCAGTCACCTTTAATATGAGGGTAATACAACATTTGAAGCGTGTCCATAGAGGTTTCTGCTTATTTCTTTCTAAAGATTCTGAATAAAAAGGACACATACTAAGTGTCTATTTTAAACATGACTGCCCTACTTAAACCACTAAATGAATTGAGTTTGTCCAGGCCAGCTCTCCTTAAAGCTATTAGGAGTAAATCATGTATGCAAGAGAGAGTAATATCTATTTTAACTTTTCACAGGATTGTCTTCACTACTGCGCAGTGTTTCGAGAAGAGGTTTGTGCTCAAGATTTATCTCCACTTGCTGATGATGTGTCAGACGATTTTGTGCTTCCCTGGTTTTAGTCAAGTCAGAAGAAGAAATTAGTTTCATATTTTGGAAGTCAGCAGCATTTTGTATCCACCACAAGACATCCTATAATTCCTCTACTTTTGTAGTGTCTCCTCTGAGTCTCTTAGCCACTGGCCAGAAGTGCAATTTGCCCCTCAAGCTTTTACATTATTTCTGGGTCTATAATAATGTATAATTGGTACAGCGATAAAGATAGAAGATATGTTTTATATTCTTGTGACATTATTGCTGCTGCTATACTTTTAGTATTACTTAAAGAGGCCCTATTATGCGTTTTGGTTGTATTCCCTTTCCTGTAGTGTGTTATATAGGTTTCTGTGCATGTAAATGGTCTGCAAAGGCTAAAATCCCAAAGCTTCCTCCAGAGGGAATCTCTCCCACATTGTACGTGATAGTCTAAGGGGCGGGACATCTCTAAGCGGTTGACCAATCACAACAGAGCCGACCAGCTAACCAATCAGAGCAGACTGGGCTCTGGTTTCAGACAGAGGGTGAAAAGAGGCAGTATGAGAAAAATAAAGAGCTTTTTGAACCTGAAAGCATGGAGACATGTCACAGTTCATGTCAGGTTTGCAATGCACAATGATGGAACATATACCTCAGACTTATTGTAACAGATTTTTCTAACAGCGTGCAGACAACTCACGACGATAAACAAAAGCCGGATAAAATCAAAGCCCCATGAAAGAGAGACCAAAGTCAAAGCATCTCTGTAAGTTCCCTCAACGGGCAGGAATCCAATATCAAAGCAGCGAGGCCAAGTCTGATTAACGATTGACTAAACAAAGTAAAGACAGCTCAAGATCCTTCATTAATATAATCTCCCCAAGAGATACATCTCTGCTCTCAGAGATATTCTCCTCTCAGCGATAGAGGAAACATCCATTAACAATTTAAGGCTCCTGCATATAAATGCTCATTAATGTATAGAAATATTCATAGAAAAACTGTATCTTTTAGTGTCTGTGAGTCAGTGAAACAGGGTGTGTCTTTTTACAAAATCTATATCCATCAGAGTGTATATGGTATGGTAAGCCACCTCAGAGGCCAGTTAGTCTAATGAATGTCTCTGTCAGTCAAAAAGCAGTTAACACAAGGTTGATATATAAGGCTTAATAATTGGGGATAAAGTTCAATAAATCTCAGACTTTAGGAAGGCGTTCTTACTTTGAAAAGACTGAAAGGACCTCAACGATCAGTGGTATGTTTCCTAAGAGTTCTGTAGTTATTATAAACCATTTGTCTCCTCTGTTGTGTTTCACAGAGGTGTGTCACAGTCCTCTCGTATCCAATCTGCTGCCATCGTCCTTCAGAAGCTCCTCACAGTTGTCGGGCAGCCACGGCCCGGGGTTTGCTAAACTGAACCGGAGAGAAGGTGAGTGACAGTGACTACCATCATCTTTGCTGATATTTTCCGGTGGCACTCTGTTCTCACTGTTCGACTAACAAATATTGAACAATTTGTTTGATTGCATGCATCCGTCTTACGCTGCAGAACGAAATCTAGAATGTGTAATCTACTGACGTTTTGTGGCCAAAAGCAATAATGGACAGGAAATAGCTAGTGCAGGATTGTAATCAGATAAAAACAGAAGCTAGCAATGCTAACAAGCTAATAACAGCATTCCAATCTATTTCTTTGCTTTGTTTGTTGTTTTTGCTGTGCTATATTTGGGCCTCAACAAGGATATTAACAAACTAAATGTCTTGTGAGAGTACCTGTGTCTGCTTGATGTCTTAGTGAGCACTTCATTGCTCATAGGTTAGCTATTAGCTCATGCTAATCAAACTGAAAATGTTGGACCTTGGGTTGTTATTCTTTATGTTGGTTGCGAATACATTTTCCAAAATGTTGATTTTCTTTCAGTTTCTGAACTTAGTGATGGTCTTTTCAGCTTTACCTTAATACAGATGCACAGTTCATTAGTGCCGCATGAGGTTGTGGACATGCAAAAACACCTGTAGCATTAGGGCTGTGCAATTAATCGTATTTTAATCGCAATTACGATTTTGGCCTGCCACAATTACGAAAACAACATAATCGAAAAAAAACAATTATTTTGCTTTGCTAGGTTGTGACATATTTTATCTAATTTATTTTTATTTATCATATTTATATATGTTTAGTAGCTTGTTGAAGTGTGCTCCAAAATATTTGTTGATCTTGTTTATTGGTATTTATTATTTTGATATTATTTATTTAAATGTATCATTTATTTTATTTATTTTTGTATTGGTTTTTCAGTTGAATTATACGTTCAGGGTAATCAACAGTTAAAAAGATACTGTTCAAATTATTATTTGTATTTGTTTTAAAGTTCAATAAATAGATGTTTTCAAAGTCAATGAATAATCGTATTTAATAATCGTGATATCAATTATTGACCCAAATAATCGTGATTATGATTTTTGCCATAATCGCACAGCCCTATGTAGCATACTGTGTTTGAAGAAAATATACAGAAATAAAGGTTTATTAAGGTAAAGTAAGGATTTTCATGATAATATCTGACCCACCATCAAGGGACTGCATGTTGCTGCTAATAAGGAACAAGCACCCCCTTAGGCTCGCACCGCAGTGTGATCTTTCATTCATTCCATCTCTCGCTCAGCTATACTCCGGAGTATACGCATATAACATTTAGCAGTTTAACATCAATAAATTATCGCTGCAATCTTGTCCTCTTTTCTCCTCACTCTTTTTAATGAATGTATTTATTTGAACACCCTGAGTTTCCACCAAAAAATAAGTAGTGAAAGGAAGCTCCCCTGTGTTTCTGTTTGTTTCTGATGCGTTGCAGCGGCACTGCTCGCCCCATAATGTAGCACCCTGCAGGACACACAACATCAAAGACACACAAACAGACAGACACCTGACGGGGTATGGAATAACAGATAAAACTAAAAACCAAAGTATATCTGGTGTTTTCTTAGTTTTCAGGTAATTGTGATGCAGGTGTAAATCAAACACTTTGCAAAAGGTTATTTGTCACCAGAAGGATTGCAAAAAGTAGCAAAAACGACTTTATGTGGGGGGCTTTGAGGATACATACCTTTGTTTTTTTGCACGCTGCGGCAGGATAATTGAACGGAGATGAGAATCAGACGGAAAAGTTAGGATGGCTTTGTGTTTAATACAATAAACAATATTAATGATTCTCTCCACCTGGGAGACTGCAGGAATCACACTCTGCAGGGTGCTGTCTTCTGGGTGTGTGTGATGGGAGAAGCTGTGAGCAAACACACATGTTGAGTTCCTTCACTGTAGTTCTGGCTGTTTACTGATTGGAGTTCAATCTTCGTTAACGAGAAAGGGAAGGGAAATCAGATGGTGTGGTGCCAGAAGTGAGTTTATCTGCACGAAGCAAAAAGAGAGAAGCAAAAAGATGCGGAAGAAATGAAACATGACGGAAAGATAAATCATCATTGTGTAACTTCTATTGGCTCCAACACATTGTCAAGAAAGCGATAGAATTACTAACAAAGAATTGCTAACAAAGCACTTATATACTAACTAAGGACTGGCTTATCTAAAGCTAGTTGAGTAGCACTTGAAATGTTTTGGCTCTATGAAACCTGATGTACTTATATGATTCTGTTTTCTTCTAGTTTGTATCTTCTTGGTCGAATGCACTTATTGTAAGTCACTTTGGATAAAAGCATCAGCTAAATGCAATGTAATAATAATAGTAAAAGGCTGAGGGGCGGGACATCTCTAAGCGGTTGACCAAGCCGACTAGCTAACCAATCAGAGCAGACTGGGCTCTGATTTCAGACAGAGGGTGAAAAGAGGTGCTGCAGCACAGGTAGTATGAGAAAAATCAAGAGCTTTTTGAACATTACAGCATGGAGACATGTCCCAGTAGAGACACTACATATATATATGAACCTGAAAATGTACATAATAGGGCCTATAGATGTCAAGCAATCGCAGAGCTTTCAGTGCCTAAAATCTCCCCTCTTAGCTCTTGTTTTTCCTTGTCAATGATTTCTTGCTAACAATAACAGCTCTCAGTTTGCAAAACCTTATTGATTACTTGCCTGCGATTTGAATTGAATTAAACTCATCAATAAATCTAATGAGCAGTTTTCAAAGCAAACACACACGTTAACCAAAACTGCTCTAATTCCAGATTCCCAGCTGTTCTCTGTATAAATCATTGAATAAATGAACATCCCCCCGGTGGTTGTTCTCCTCCAGCTGCTGCTCCTCATCCTCTGCAGTCACTCTGCAGGAGGAGACGCCTCTTTCAGACTTAATTTACCAGCTAAATGAGCAGGGAATCTTCGAGGAGCTTTTTCTGCTTCCTGCAAACACTTGCTGGTGCTCTATTAACTTTTGGATTAACCCATTAGAGCTTTGGGGTGAATGCACATTTAAAATATTACTCTTTCAAGATGCATATTTTCCAATTACAAATAATTTGTTTAGGCAATTTGTCGGCTGTTTTTACTGCGTGACTCAGGTCAAATCTAAATAAAAAACACGTATTTTAATTTGTTTTCCTTTTTTTACCTGGAGGCTTCTAGTAAAAGTATGTTGAAAAAACTGTTATCGCCCAGGGACACTTACATGTACATTAAATTGACTTAAAGCAAGACTGCACCAGGATTTTCATATTTTTCAATAAAAACCTATTGCCATTAGAATAGTTGGTTTAATAACATTAAAATCTCCATTGTGGCTGAAAATTAAATAAAACCGCATTCATCCACATTGCAGCTTTTTCTCCAGCACTGCCGGATGTTATTTTACAAATGTTCAAACATTATTGAAATGACCAAATATAATAATTCGGGCAGAACTGAACGCTAATTTAGTGACATTAGGGACATACTTTATATTAGATGAGACTAAGCAGGTAAAGCACTGAAGGTAAAACCTCTTATTCTGTTGTATCAATGTAAAGTGCAAATCCAAATAGTTGATGATTAACATCTGTATACAAAATATGATTTTATAAGCACTTACTGTAAATTACTGGACATCCAGCTCCACAGTTCTCAGACTGACAGACTGTCACAATAAGAGACATCCTGTCAGAATAAGAGACATCCTATCAGAATAAGAGACTTCCTGTCAGAATAAGAGACGTCCTGTCAGAATAAGAGACGTCCTGTCAGAATAAGAGACGTCCTGTCAGAATAAGAGTGCATTATTGATGGCCAAAGGGACTTTTCTTTAGCTTGTGGTGAAGCTGTCAGCACTGTTTTGCAGAATAACTTGGTTCTGCCTCTCTTGCACCAGCTGTTATCCAGACATTGAATCCAAGATATCTCAACTCTTCAAAATGTGCAGAGGGCATTTCAACATATTTTATTCCGGGCATACAGATACTGCATTGATACAGTGATCTCTACCAACGCAGGAGTAAGTCATGTAACTTGGGAATGGCAAAGTTACAATAACTGCCTCTGGACAGAATCAGATTTCTCTAATGATCATGAGGTCTCAGCTCCAAAAAACTTGACTGTTTGAAAGTAAAAAACTCTGACCTTAGGGTCTGATTCATCAAATGTAATTCTTAAGGGAAATGTGGGAGTTGTATGAGGAGATACAAAGGCCAAAGCTAGCACAACATTTGTACATCCTCTCACTCCACTGATAAGTGACTCGACTGGCAGAAAGCCCAGACTCAAATCCTTTTTGAGAACTTTTTTACAGACATCAATATATTTCTATCATCTATGGCAGTCACTACAAAGGGAGTTTGGACAAAGGGAGTTTGGACAAAGGGACGGCACTTCAAAATCATCCTGAAGTGAGCTTTTTCAAATATAGAGAGAAGTTTTGAAAGAATCAAAAACACAGCCTCTCCAAAATTGGTGTCATGGGATTTTGAAAAAGTGTTTCCAAGTGGTCGTTCGCTTTTAGCTTCTATCTTTGTGAGGGCCATTTCTGGCAGAAGTGGTTTACAATGAGTGGCCCCCAAAGTCATGGTTGAAGTAAGGGATGGCCAATTGTCAAAGAGGCTAGGTTAAGGGTGATTGGAAATGCTAATTATCCTTATGCGTTCACACACACACACACACACACACACACACGTTCACACACACACACACACACACACACACACACACACACACACACACACACACACACACACACACACACACACACACACACACACACACACACACACACACACACACACACACACACACACACACACACACACACACACACACACACACACACACACACATACCTTTTTGGTACTTCAATAATGTAATGTCTCCTTCGTATGGTCTTCTGCCTCATACTCAGAATATATGAAGCTCTGCCATGGACTAACATTTCAATATTGTATACGGCTGTTATCCGAAATGGCTCATCTGCTGCTAACATTATTCACAGAACAATCATTAAGACACAGATTAAACAAATGTTACTTTCTAAAATTAAACAGCATGTTTTAAAAAAGGTTCCCTTTTAATTTCCCTGCACTCCCAACTGAGTTTCTTAAGAAAAGTGTGCTAAGAATGTATGCAATTATCAGTTTTTCTTCCGTCCATTTTCTTTGCAAATACCCAAATATGATGTGATGTTGAAACAGAAGCTTCTCATATTTCTGAGCATGCTGTCTGTGCACGTGTCCCTGCAGGAGCTGGAGGCTGGTCTCCTCTGAGCTCGGACAGATATCAGTGGCTGCAGGTGGACCTCGGGGAGCGGACACACATCACCGCTGTTTCCACGCAGGGTCGCTACGGCAGCTCTGATTGGCTGACGGCCTACCTGCTGATGTTCAGCGACACGGGACACAACTGGAGACAGTACCGGCAGGAAGACAGTATTGGGGTGAGTGATTTAAATACATGAAATAAAGCTGTGTTAAGTGGAAGAATCTGACACTAAAGCATCAAAACAGACAGACATTTTGACATGTCAGTGTATGAAAGCATATATAATTAACAATGGCTCTGTTTTATTCAAGTGTGGCAGTGAGACAGGGACCCTCAAACCAAATTCAGTCATCATGTGATTTATTTAAAAACCACACCTGTGTCAAAACAATAATGTTGACATGAATAATTTTGCATATAATTTGCTGATAATTCATGTTTTTCCCTGACATTATAAATGGCTTTATAATGTCATTTTTATCCGTGAAATAAACAAGTTTGAAAAATGTAAATTGAAGAAGTGTAGAATAAAATGTCTCTGACATGACCTATACCGAATTCTCTCATTTAGAAAGTCAATATTGCCACATTAATAATAGTCTAGCTGAACAGAAGGCAGAACAAAACCAAGGGGAAAACATTCAGCCGAAACACACAGCTGTAAAAAATAACGCTGGTTTAAAGAGTAAAAAAGCCGGAAAAAGACAAAGTGTATGGGTTTATATTTCCCATTGCTGTCTCTGTAATTATTTTAAATATGTTTTACCTACTTTAACTCTTAAATGTATAGTTACTACACATGATACATTACATGTTAGACGTTTTTATCCAAAGCGACTTACATACTCAATACTGTAGACCAGTGGTTCCCAAACTTTTTGTGCCCAAGGCACACCAAAGGACAAGTAAAAATCTCAAGGCACACCTATTGTGCAAAATAGCCCTAAAACACGTGTTATCACTCATATCATGTAAAATATCTGTAAATGTGCATAATTATTTACTAATGCCAAATAAAATGTGACAAAGACAACTATATTACTCATGAAATATTTATTAACGAAATATTTCAGAAATTAATTTGAAACTTTATCAAATTAGGCTTCATCAAAGCAGCAACACACTCATTTAAACCAGTCAGGTCACAAAATAAAAAATTGTGGAGGATCAGGCTTTGGTGGTCGGCTCCCATCTCGGCGCACAGCTGGGAGAAGAGGCGAGATTTCAGGGGCCTTGATTTGATGTAATTCACCATCTGCACAGCCTGGTTCAGCACCTCAGTCAACTCCGGGGGCATGGTTTTGGCAACTAATGCCTCTCTATGCAAAATGCAGTGGTTTGTCACGATATTGATTGATTGAATTGATTGAAAAGTTTATTAACAGCTTGTATATTGGGTACAGTACAGTACAGCTCAAAACATACAATTGTTAAGGGGATGCAGACCAGAGAAAGACTTTCGTCTTGTTTACATCAGGGTCCCCCATTTCCAATTCATCATATCATTTAAGACATATAAGACATATTTGACATACAGATGGCTTATTTACAATTTACATACAGGTGGTTTTTTACATACAGATGGCTTATTTACAATTTTCATTTTAGATTTCGTTCTAATACATCCTAACCGGACATTTAAGACATACCAAGTCTACAGATATACAGTTAGTAACAGAGTCTAAAATGCGAGTATATACATAGATGGGGGGGGGAAGCTGTCCATTGTACGACAGGTTGAGATTTGTACCATTACCGGGGCCAGTTTTGCAATGCTTTCCCCCGAAGGTGCTCTTTAAGAGAGGTTTTGAAGGTAAGTATAGTTTTACTTTCCTTTACAGTTGTGGGAAGAGCGTTCCACCTTGATGTGGCATAATTGCGAAACGTGTATTCCCCTTTTTTTGTGCCAAATCTGGGTTTTACATGATTTGTGGAGCTCCCTCTGGTGTTATGATCATGGTATTCCTTGACCTTTGGGAAGAATTTTGACATGTACATGGGTACCATAGAGGTGTAGTGGATCTTGTAGACCAGGCCCATTGCAAGTAGCTGTACTCTGTCGTCTACTCTAAGCCATCCTAGGTTGTCAAAGTGGGCAGAGGTGAGGTGGGTTCTAGATGAAAGGTCAAGCAGTAGTCTGACCAGTTTATTTTGCGATGTTTGAAGTTTTATTTTTAGCGCCTTGGAGGTGCTATGGTACCATGACGTGCAAGCATAGTCATAGTACCCTTGAATGAGTGCTCCTGCCAGAGTTTTCAGGGTGTTTTTGTTTACCAGAGAGGAGATCCGGTATAGGAATCTAGTTCTTTGATTGACTTTTTTTATTACATTGGATGCCATTTTGTCACAGGAGAGGTTTGCCTCAAGAATAGATCCTAGGTATGTAATTTCCTTCTTACTTGTGACAATAATGTCACCCACTGCAACTGAGAAGTCGTCGGATTTGCTGAGATTATGTTTCGAACCGAAGAGAATGGACTCTGTTTTACCCAGGTGTAATGATAATTTATTATCGGCGAGCCAGGTGCAGATTCTGCCGAGCTCGGAGCTGAGGGTTTTTTCAACCTGCAATCTGCTCCTGTCAGAGACCAGCAGGGCTGAGTCGTCCGCGAACAGGAACAAGTTGCAGTCACATGCTGATGACATGTCATTTGCATAAATTAGGAACAGTAACGGACCTAATATGCTTCCTTGTGGAACACCACAGCTCACTGGGAGGGGGGGGGACAGAGTACCGTTTACCTCCACCATCTGTTCTCTCCCCTCCAGGTAGGATTGCATCCAGCCCACCGATAGTTTATCAAAACCAATTGCTTTTAGCTTGTCAATCAGAATGGGGTGATTGACAGTGTCGAAAGCCTTTTGTAGGTCCAGCATCACCATGCCGCAGTATTTACCCTCGTCCACCTCTTGTTTGATGTGGTCGTTCAAATAAAGAAGGCATGTGTCAGTGGAGTGGGATGTTCTAAAGCCAGATTGAAATTCATAGATTAGTTTCTTTTCTGCGAGGTACTTTTCGACCTGTTCATATACTATTTTTTCCATGACTTTCGAGATGGAGGTAAGTATAGAAACAGGGCGGTAGTTGCCTGGGTCCAATTTGCTGCCCTTTTTGTGCAGGGGGGTTACTCTTGCAATTTTGAAGTCTTTGGGTACTTTTCCCTGTTTTATGGAGAGGTTAATTATGTGAGCTATGACTGGTGAGATGGCGGTTGCTGTGTCTCTGAGGAATTTGGAGGGGATATTGTCGTGGCCAGTGGCCTTGTTAGGTTTGAGGGCGCTCAGTTTAATGAGTACCTCTGCTGTTGTTACCCTTGCTAGACTGAAATCATCTTTGCGTACCCCTAGGTTTTTGTAGTAGGTCATGATGTGATCTACTCCAAAAAGCCCTGAGTGGGAGGGTAATTTATTTACAAGAGTTGTGGCTATGTTTGTGAAAAAAATGTTCAAGTACTTGGCCACATCCAGTTTGTCTGTGATGAGCCTGTTATCTGTCTTTATGTTTAAGTTTGAAAATCTCGTTTTGAGTTTTTTACTGCAGCCAAGCTGGTTATTGAGTAATTTCCAAAGTTCACGGGGTTTATTTTTGTTTTCCTCAGTTTTGTCATTGATGAAATTCTTTTTGGCAGTTTTGATCATGGAGCTTACGTAATTTCTTAGTCTGTTTCTTTCAATTTTTAGTTCAGTCACGTGGGCCTGGAGTTCACTGCTCGTGCTTTTGGAAAGCATTGACTGACTTTTATGAAACTCAGAGCATTTTTTGTCTCTGGTTTTCATGGCGGTCAGTATGCCGGAGTGCATCCACGGCTCAGCGCGATTTTTTACCCTGGTTGTTCTTAGGGGGGCCAAATCATTGAGTATTGCAGAGAATTTGTTTTTGAAACCAAGCCATGTTTCTTCAACTTGTGTACCACTGAGCTCATCTGACCAGTCCAGGCTCTCCAGTTCTAGGTTAAAGGCCTCGCTAGAGTAGTTTTTGAGGTCTCTAGATATGACTGTTTTGTGACAGCCGGCCTTTTGTTTTAGCTTTTTGCGGGTACAGAATATCATATAATGATCACTTAAACCGCATGCTATAACCCCTTTACTGGAGATCCTGGACCTGTCAGAGGTCAGAATGAGATCAATGGTAGTTTGTGTTGTTTCACATACCCGGGTGGGTTGGGTGATTAGCTGGCTGATCACAAATCCTACTGAAGGACTTGAAGACGGACGTGTCTTTACGTTGCATATCCGTGTTCCAGTCTCCAGTATATGTGGGTTTTGTGCTCTCACCTTAGCAATACATCCTTTCACTCTCCCCGTCATGCTTGCCGCACCATCTGTGCAAAGACTGACGCACATATTCCAGGTCAGACTGTTCTCTTTTAAATAGTTATTAGTTGCCCTGAATATTTCTTCTCCCGTAGTATGGCTTTCCATTTCTTTGCAAAAGAAAAACGTCTCTTTGATAGAGTCAGCATTAGGGATGCCAGCGATTATTCGATTTTTCGAATATTCGTTACAGTCTCCATAATCGAAAATTATTTTTAAAATTCGATTTTATTTATATATATTTTTATTATTATTTATGTTTTTCTTTTCTTTTTTCTGGCTTAGTTTCAACCAAAATATAGACTAATGCTAATAGTAATAGTATTAATAATTGTAAATGGCCATTGGTCACACCACCAGTTTGTTTTACTGTAAACTTGGAGGAAGAGTGCAGACTGCTGCTGCCTGCTGCAGCCTGCTACACACCGACCCCCCCCCCCCCCCCCCTCTCTCTCCGTCACACGTGCAATTGGCGATATACAGAACAGTGAGAACAACACAACTAAAGATGAACAAAGCGGCACGTTCAAAGAAGCGAAGTGACTAGTGCAAATGAAGTAAAATGCAACCTCTGCGAAAAGACTTTTTTTTCTCTCCCGCGGCGAATAATCGAGTAATATTCGCCAGGGCTGTCCGATTTTCGAATTTGAAAATTTGAATTTCAGTTTCTGGCATCCCTAGTCAGCATCAACATATCTGACGTTTGCCAGAAGTTGGGCAGCCCCACTTATGTCAGTAGGTTCGTCTATTTGTAGGGAAAATCTGCCGCTCGCCACTGAAGCCATAAGACAGGTAACTTTCATGATACTGTCTGCTGACAGTTTTTTTCCTCTTTTCTTTCGGTGGTGGGTTGTCGGCAGT